CGATCAAAGAAAGGGATTGTTCAGGAGGGTGAAGTTGGGTGTGGTAGGTACTACGGTAGTCTCGAAGGCCAGTTGTGATTCTCAAAACAGTCGGCCAACGTGGCTCTGGTGGATTATAATCATGACAGAAACACCCACTACTTGAGAAGCAGCTGCCACTTTATAGCCTATCGACAAATGAACTCTCTTTCGTGGAAGTCAGTGGAGGCGTCTAAATTCACAAGCAGTCGTTCAAATTCGAGAAATTTGGTTGCCCCACTGCGCTCTACATCGACTTTACTTTAAAGGAAACAGTATAAAAAGACAACCAACGAGAAGACATATGAAGTTCAACTACTGCAACAAGGTTTTGGTCCATGACTAGTCAACGAGGTGGTGGCTCCAGGATAGTTTTGACTGACGCAACGGCCCCTGTCCACTATGCGCACATATTAAAAGAACCCTGAAATCACGCCGAATGCTGTACGAGAAGGACACACTCCTTATTTTAACAAGGTAAACGAAAAAAGCGGAATAGGGCAAAAAGGTGCCGCAACTGGTACGAATCCTGAACGATAAAACAGTAAAGCAACAGCATGCACTTAAACCTAGTTTTGTTAAAAACTCAAAACGCTGCAGAAAAAAATCAACAACATCCTAACACCACTAGCTTTACCATGAGAAATGTTAGCAAGATAAGATAATCATGTCTGCAATTAATCAACAATTTATGTTGAATTGTTTCCTAAAGTAAAAAAGCAGAAAATGAAAACTGGTATTGATTAAAATCTCAAATTCTAGCAGTTTATTGATCGCCTAATAGATCCACTAACTTTCACTCTTACAACGAAAAGAAATGCCTATCGAAAAGATTAAAAATGAAATAAAGCATACAAAAACATCTAAATGCGACAGTTTATAAACGGGGGCAACCCTCATTTATCAAAATGTTTAAAAAAAATCAGAGCTCTTAAATGAATGTGAAAAGAAACTGGTCGAGAAGAATGCAGACGAGGAATACAAGAGTTTTCTATTTTTGTTCACTAAGCGACATAACAACTTTATACCTATGATTCTGAAACTCATTTCAATTCAATAGTTTTGAACAGACAGGCGATGGTCTTTATAATATCTACGGACGTTTCAGCGTCGCCGATGCTCAGGACAAACAACATTTGTTTAGAGTTTAACTTCGTTTTTTGTGCTCTATTTACCATTCCAAAAATCGCATGGTCAGCCAGTCATGATTAGAGCACAATGGTGAGAAGTTTCAGCAGTTTGCACGAAGACTAGCCCATCAGCTCAGGGAGACAGAGAGTAAATTAAAAAACAGTTATCTGTTTAATATATCGCTATAAAGGCTAGCGAAAATTCATTCTAATCCGACGTCAGTGTGCTAAACAACGCTGAAAAAAATTGAACCGTTATAGACACAATATTAACGAAAGATTGTGTGTTGTGTTTATTCTTGAAGTCACACTGAAATGGATCGACATCTGATAGGCCACTTAATTATGCTACGCATCAATACACCATTTTTATGCTGCACGTCCATATGAACGAACCACGAATATCTTCGATTTTACAACAAAAGTATGAACTAAAGTAAGGTCAGCATCAGAGTAAAACAACATAAGATTAATTTCCGTTAACTCACGAGGTACACGAGCAATTTCGACCTAACATCTATATACCTATGCTATTTCGGGAGACTTCCGCTATCACCTTGCACATCTGCTTCCTCAATATCTCCGGCTGGTTCATCCTTACCAACGTCAATAGCTCAGCCTTGAAAGATTCTTTCACTTCCGGTGACCAATTATCCCAGACATCGTTCCATGAGGACGTGAGCAGACGCCTCAACAGCACTAAGGCTGTCTTCCTGCCCTAAAAAGTTTCGGTCAAAACAAACAAAACCAATGAATAACATGGTTGCTAAAGTAGAAAAAGTTAAATAACTGCAGAACGCTTCTGAGAAACAAATTAAGTTGTAAAGAATGTCATTTTACAGTTAAGCCATGTACTTCCTCATCCAGTGACTGACAGTTTTATTTCTTTAATGATTCAATAATAATATTTACTTTAAAATTAGAAATAATTATGTAATAAACATTTAACTGCAACT